TGTGGCAGACATGGCAGCCCACCTGGCTCTCCGTCTTCCTCTAGTGACTAGGTCATGTATAGCGATTTTATCCGGCTGCTGCAGGTAGAGGGTTGTGCTTTTTAGGTCCGGAGGTGCTGGGTTCGATCCCCCGCAGACCACCCAAGCCAGGGAAGGCATCTGATGGGCATCAAGTGCCCCCCGTCCCCAAGGGCATCAGGTGAGGCCGCTGCCGAGCTGGGGCATATGCCAGTCTGGGGCTGCCCCGCTCGGTGGTGGCATTTTGGAAGGCAGGAGGGATGCCCGGGCTGTTGGGGGTTTGCCCTGGAACGTACCAGCTGTATCTCTCACTGACGCCCACCGTGTTTTCTAAAGCTCAATAGAAACGATAATAAAGTTCTATAATAACATGTCACCAGAGCTCGGAGGCGTCTCTTTTCCGCCCCTGCCCTGCATTCCAGCTAAACGTATGCTCCCTGCCAACCCCCTGTCTAGGAGCTGTCACTGTTCTCATACGTCATGCCTTCCCCCCTCTCCCCTGAAGCACTGACAGTTTAGGTCACTGCAATGCAGCTGCCTCTGGGGTGGAATGCAGCGGCTGTTTTTAACAGCACACAACAGCTTAACCGGCCTTACTGTGGTGCTTGTGTGGGCCCCCTTGTCTGAGCACCTCACATTCTTTAATGTGTTTAGCCTCACAAGGTAGTCCAGTGCTACTCTCCCCGTGCACAGATGGGAAAATTGAGGCATGGAGCTGCAGTGACTTGCCCAAGTTTACTCAGAAGGAGTAGGGAATTCAACCCGAGTTTTGCTGAGTCCCAGGGTGGTGGCCAAAGGGGAAAATTTTAGGGATGCAGAATTATCCAAACTGGGATTTAACCAGTTGGATGTTTAGTCGCAAAAGGGTCAATGGAAAAATAAATGGGCCCAAATTTAAACACCTCCCATCTGTAAATCCACATCTTGACATCAAAGGACTTGCACCGGATTTCAGCTGGTGTTAACTGAGAACAGACTCTGACCCCAACGCCCTGAGCTCTTACTTTGGTTCCAGACTCAGTCGTTACGTGCTACCGTGTCAACTGCCCGTCTCTGCCCTTTTTGGCATCCCTGCCTGAACTGGGGACGCGCTATTCAGTGTGGGATACCTGTGCAGATCAGCCGTCATGTTCCACCCCAGAGGTGGCAGCATTTCACTGGTGGTTGAGTGAGTCCCTCGGGAGGGAGGTCTGGAAAACACATTCCTCATCGGAGTTGGGGGGAAGGTACTAGGTAACAAGCAGGTATAGTGCTACCGGTAAGGGTTAGGGATGGGGAGATGGTCCCGTCTCTCCCCAGATGCAGCATGGCCTAGTGGCTAAGTTGGCAGACTGGGACCCAGGAGATCAGGGGGTCTGTTCCTGGCTCTGCTGTTTCCCTGCTGGGGGACTTGCTTCAAATCACTTCTCTCTGCATCTGTTTCCTCTCCTGCTGTCTGTCAATTGAGGCTGGAAGCCCTTCGGGACAGGAGCCGTCTCTCGCTAGGGGTTTGTGCTGGCCTAGCACAATGGAGCCTGGGCTTGCAATGGATAGTGAGTGCTTCCCTGCCTCAGTTTCCCCCTCTGTAAAATGGGGATCATATTTATTACTCAGTCAGTCAGCTCTTTGGGGCAGTGTCATAGAATCATAGAAGATCAGGGTTGGAAGAGACCTCAGGAGGTACCTAGTCCAATCCCCTGCTCAAAGCAGGACCAACCCCAACTAAATCATCCCCGCCAGGGCTTTGTCAAGCCGGGCCTTAAAAACCTCTAAGGATGGAGATTCCACCACCTCCCTAGGTAACCCATTCCAGGGCTTCACCACCCTCCTAGTGAAATAGTGTTTCCTAATATCCAACCTAGACCTCCCCCACTGCAACTTGAGACCATTGCTCCTTGTTCTGTCATCTGCTACCACTGAGAACAGCCGAGCTCCATCCCCTTTGGAGCCCCCCTTCAGGTAGTTGAAGGCTGCTATCAAATCCCCCCGCACTCTTCTCTTCTGCAGACTAAATAACCCCAGTTCCCTCAGGCTCTCCTCATAAGTCATGTGACCCAGCCCCCTAATCATTTTTGTTGCCCTCCGCTGGACTCTCCAATTTGCCCACATCCCTTCTGTAGTGGGGGGACCAAAACTGGACGCAGTACTCCAGGTGTGGCCTCACCAGTGCCGAATAGAGGGGAATAATCACTTCCCTCGAGCTGCCGGCCATGCTCCTACTAATGCAGCCCAATATGCCATTAGCCTTCTTGGCAACGAGGGCACACTGCTGACTCATATCCAGCTTCTCGTCCACTGTAATCCCCAGGTCCTTTTCTGCAGAACTGCTGCTTAGCTAGTCTGTCCCCAGCCTGTAGCGGTGGCTGGGATTCTTCCTTCCTAAGTGCAGGACTCTGTATGTATCCTTGTTGAACCCCATCAGATTTCTTTTGGCCCAATCCTCCAATTTGTCTCGGTCACTCTGGACCCTATCCCTACCCTCCAGCGTATCTATCTCTTCCCCCCAGCTTAGTGTCATCTGCAAACTTGCTGCGGGTGCAATCCATCCCATCCTCCAGATCATTAATGAAGATGTTGCACAAAACCAGCCCCAGGACTGACCCCTGGGGCACTCCGCTTGATACCGGCTGCCAACTAGACACTGAGCTGTTGATCGCTACTCGTTGAGCCTGACGATCTAGCCAACTTTCTATCCACCGTATAGTCCATTCATCCAATCCATACTTCTTTAACTTGCTGGCAAGAATACTGTGGGAGACCGTGTCAAAAGCTTTGCTATAGTTAAGATCTATCATGTCCACTGCTATCCCCATATCCACAGAGCCAGTTATCTCATCATAGAAGGCAATCAGATTGGTCAGGCACGACTTGCCCTTGGTGAATCCATGTTGACTGTTCCTGATCACTTTCCTCTCCTCCAAGTGCTTCAAAATGGATTCCATCATTTGTGTCCATCTTTTGTGTTCGGCGTTTGCACAGCACCTGGCACAAGGGGGGCCTGGCTCTGGGCTGGGGCACCTAGATGCTACTGCAGTACATGTAATAGCAGTACAAAAAGTCCAGTGCCTGGCCCCACGGGGCGCTGGTCCACGCCTCAGCCTGCCAGCTACCATGGTGCACCGAATAGCATTCCTCTCCCAGGGGAGGGGTAAGAATGAATTAGTGTAAGCGGTGAATTGCACATTGCATGACAATAAATGTGAAGTGACAACCCATTTCAAACTGTTATTCAATAGCAGCTGAACCGAGGATCTCTTGAGCAGTTGCCAGCACCCCCGCCCCTCCTCTTGTCCCATTCTCCGGGGCAGAGGCAGGGTCAGGGCTTAAGGCATAAAGCAACTCTACAGTGATCTGTGAACTGAATAACCTCGGCACACCCAGCATGTAGAGGAACCAGTTCGGTCGGGGCCTCGAGCAGCCCGGTCACAGTTCAGCTGGCAGGCTGGGACATGTGGGGCTGCCTGGATCACACCTGCTGCACAGGGAGTTGTTCGCAGTTCAGCAGGCGTCCCCATGAGACTGTTACGCCTTGGGGGAAGAAAGCGCTAGGCTTGTTGTATCCACAGCCTGTTACCTTCTCTCCTGTGGGCTCACCACAGCCCCTCATCCCACCTAATGCTGGCCAAGAGCCTCTGACTGTTAGCCCCATGGAGTCCTGGCTCCCAGCCTCCCTGCTCTAACCACTAGCCCCCACTCCCCAGCTCGGAGCAGAACCCAGAAGTCCTGGCTCCCAGTTCCCCTGCTCTAATCACTAGGCCCACACGCCCTTCCCAAAGTTGGACATGGAACCCAGGAGTCCTGACTCCTCGCACTCTGCTCTAACCACTAAACCCCACTTTTCTCCCGGTGCTGGGAGCAGAACCCAGGAGTCCTGACTCCTAGCCCCAGGGGTGCTGGAACACTTTTTATAGTGGGGGTGCTGAAAGCCAGCGAAACCACAAAGCCCTATTTTTACTTCACCCCCACCCCCTGGAACTGGGACCAGGAGCAAAGCAGTGGCTCTGGGAGGCGGGGAACACAGACAGGGGGAAGGGGGCCAAGACGGGACATCGCTGGGGGTGGGCATGGAGCCCCAGGCGTGGGGCCGGCAGCCTGAGCCCCGTGTAAAACCTGGGGGTGCTGCAGCACCCCCTGCTTCCTATGCCCAGCCCCCGCCCCTGTCCTAGCCACAAGACCCCACTGCCCTCCCAAAGCTGGGAGACGAACCCAGGAGTCCTGATTCACTGCCTGCTTAAGACAGTCACACTGTGTGCACAGGCCGGCCTGAGGCCCTGTTACAAAGGGCCCTGTCATGTTGTGGCAGGTGCAGAGTCATGGATGAGAGTGAAAAGCTACAGGGCTCTGCCAGCCATGGGCCTGTCAACTAAGCCCCGCCCTGGCAGCAGCTGCGATAGGCCCCCCCTCTCCCCCCCCGGTGGAATCCATCGCCCCCTGCTGGATTATCTTCAGCCAGGCAGCTCCCCGCCAAGCACCAGTTCAAGCCACGGCCCTTTTCCTCCTCAGGGGCGCGGGATTGAAAGGGCCCAAGCGAGTCTGGATGCCACGTCACTGCCAGGCTGCCCAGTCGGCTCCCAGGAGCGCGGCCCAGGTTGCCTGGGTTACAAAGAGGCCCATGTTACCAGGCTAGGTGCCCAGGTTGCCTGGCGCCATGGCCGGTGGTTCAGGTTACCACGCCAAATTGCCCAGGTTGCAGTACCAAGCTGCCTAGGCGAGTTGGCCAGGTTGCCATGCAAGTTGCCGGGCATGTTGCCCGGGTTACCATGCCAAGTCGCCATCTCCAGCCTCACTGCTCCCCAGCTAACGTCATAGGCTGGAGGTTGCCCCTGGTAACAGCATCCTCAGGTGGGTGGGTGGGTACCAGCCTCAGGCTCTTAACCCACCCGGTCCTGACCCCCCTTTTGCTGGCAGCCAATGGGAAAGCATCCTGAGCTGCCAGCTAGGCCAACTGTCCAATGGGAGCCCCCTAGAGGTGGGGCCAACCCTCCCCCCCCACCTCTCAGAGGAGCAGACAGAGACTCTGAGCTGCTGTGACTGGAAACAGAACAGGGATCCTGGAACTGAGCTAGCAACAGGTAAAAGGGGAGGGAGCCGCTCCTCTGGGGCGAGGGCTGCAGGGGGGGTGAGGATCCCCCGGCCCTGGGATTGGGGGCAGGTCTGTAAAGGGGAGGGTGGATGGGGCAGTGGGAGGGGATCTGGGCAGGGAGTGGGAGGGTCTCTGGAGGAAGGTCTGGGTAGGAGGATGGAGAAAGGAGGGTCTGGTCTGGAGAGAATTGGAGGTTGCAGGGAGGTCTGGGGGAGGCTTTGGGGGGGTCTGAGCAGATGGGGTCCATGAAGATTCCAGACAGAGGGGGTGGGGGTCTGTGGGGTGGGGCAGTCTGTGGCTGGCAGGAGGGAGGGGGGCTGGTCAACCTATCTCTCCACCCCCTCCCAGCCTCACGCTCCCATCTGGATCATTCCTGGGACTTTCCCTGCCTCTGGGCTGGTCCTTTTCAAACCCCTTCCTCGCCTCCCCCCCCTACTGCCAGACCTTCATCTCCATCTGGGGTGCCAAGGGCAGCAGGTGTTGGATCTGGGAGTGGAAGATCGATGGCTTCTGGCAAAGAGGGGCCAACCTGGCACGGCTCTTACCAGACCCCCATTGTGTTAGGCGCTGTACATTTGTATTGCTATTAGGTGTATTACGGTAGCATTTTGTCATCCCAGTACTGGACCAGTCCCCCATTGTGCCAGGCGCTGTACAGACACAGAACAAAAAGATGACCCCATTATATTATACTATCATTTAGAGCTTTTCTGTTTACTATTCCCATTTGCACTGTCATGTTTGGACGGGATCAAATCTGTCCCAGAGGGTCACTTTGAAGTTTCCAAATGGACGTGTTTGGAATTGTTATTCCATGAACAGTTTCAAATGTTCGGCTTTGGGGACACAGCCCAGTGCCTGGATTTCCCGTGGTCAGGGCAGTCCCATGTTCTGAGGGGCTCTGGCCACATGAGATGGTAACTCCAGCTTCCCCAGCTCCTGATCCTGCCGTGGGCCCTGCATCCCCCACTCTGCCCGAGGCTCGTTGATTTCAGCAGGAGTGGAGGGCCTCTCAGCACCACCCAGGAGGTACTTGGCACCAGTTTGAGCAGGGGGGACTTGGCACCCAACAGGATCAAACCCTAAATGTGGCCATCTACAAAGGAGTCCATCTGGTTAAGCATGAAATGGACCCATGCTACCGGCTGGGAGCCGGTCCGTGGGGCTGGGAGATGGACCCCAGAGAGAGGGAGTAACTTGCCCAAGGTTACGCAGTGAATCAGTGGCAGAACCGGAACCAGGCCCTTAGCCCTGGTCCTTCCTGGGTCCTAATGTTGTAAGTGGATCATAGGTGCCTCACAAAGTCTGGTCTGGCCAAAGCACAGGGGGGCCTAGCTACATTTCAATTCTGGGGTTTATAAAGGTGGTTTCCTTAGTTTGCAGACCTGAGTAAGAATGGTCTAGCCTAGTGGTTAGAGCCGGTTGGGGGATTGGGAGTCAGGACTCCTAGGATCTACCCTCAGCTCTGGGAGGGGAGTGGTGTCTACTGGTTAGTACAGGAGACTGGGAGCCAGGGACTCCTGGGTTCTTTCCTCAGCTCTGGGAGGGGAGGAGTGATCTGTGAGTTAGAGCAAGGGGCACTTGGCCTCCTGACTCCCCGGTTCTATTCCTTGGCACTGCCACTGGCTGGCTGTGACCTTCCCCGCCACTCTGTGCCTCAGTTTCCCTCCCTGTAAAATGGGGACAACGATCCTTCACAGGCGATTCTGAAGTGTTCTGAGATCCCTGGTCGTTGCGGCACGACACGACGGATAATGTGTTCGGCGGAAGTTACAGTGCAGGGAGATGGACCCCAGACCCCTGGCGCTGCTCATCCAAGGAGCGCTGAGTGCCCTGATGGCAGGAACGATTGCATCCTCCCAGCTCCGCCCAGTGCTATACCCCACATATTATGAGGCAGCTGACTGGGAGGGGAGGGCGCCCCCTGCCCCACAGCGCCCCCTAGCACCGCACTGGGGCTGGCACTGACTGCCCGGGGAGAGCGCCCCCTGCTGAGCCCCCACCCCACTCCCTGCAGCACAGTGCCCCCTGGTGCCCCATTGGGCTCAGTACTGGGAAGGAAGAGCGCCCCCCTCTTGATACACCCCCATCACTGTTTGCAGCGTGGGGCTTCCTGGGCAGATCTGAGGATGCCTTTCTCCAGGCGCTGCCTCCAGGCTGTACGCCCCGGCCTCAGAGCCTGGTTAGTAATCCCGTCGGGGAGACACAGCCCCGGGGCTGACACCCCCTGTCATCCTGCCCCACCTCCTCTCCCAGCACCGGCCACAGAGCCCTTATTATGAGGCAGCTGATTGCTGCCGCTCGCTTGCAGCTCCCCCGCCAGACTCCCAGCGAGGCATGTTAAAAATAAGCTGTCACTGGTTCCCCCGTGCCCCCCAGGAAAGGGGGGTGTTGTGAGTGTGGGTGGGGAGGATACTTGGCAAATCTCTCTCCATACGTTAGTAGAGGTGAAGTAACAGCTGAGCATCTTGGCATAACACGAGGCCGTAGGGGTGCTGATTTAGATCTCGCAGCGAGGGGGCAGGGGCCTGGGGTTCTGGCCTGGTTCTGACCCGTGTCAATGTTGTGGGTTTGGCCCTAGCAGTATTGGGGTCTGCTTTAGACAGGGGGTGGGGGGTGAAACTAAATGAAAAAGACAAGGTCGAAAATCAGATCAGGGACAACGAAAGACAAATACGGAGGGAGCGTGAAAGGTGCTCTGAGGAACGATGGGACGCGGGAGATCTGGAGGCCATTCCTGGCTCTGCCGCAGACTCCGTCGGTGACCATGGACTAGTCACTGCGTTGCTCTGTGCCTCAGTTTACCATTTGTCTGTTTAGACTGTTTAGCTCTTTGGGGCAGGGACTGTCTCTCGCTCTGTCTGTGCAGCGCCCGGCACAATGGGACCCTGATCTCAGTGAGATCTGTGCAGCGCCTGGCACAATGGGGCCCTGATCTCGGTCGGGGACTGTGCAGTGCCTGGCACAGGGGGGCCCTGATCTAGGTCGGGGACTATGCAGTGCATGGCACAATGGGTCTTGATCCCTGATCAGGGCATCTAGATGCTAGCTGAACATAGGAACTGCAAGACTGGATCAGACTCAAAGCCTGGTCTCCCGTCTCTGACAACTCCCAGCACTGGCTGCAACAGAGGAAAGTATCAGAACCCTGCAGTAGCAGACGTGGGACAGTTTGCCCCTCACCCCGACCTCTCACAGAGATCACAGGAGGGAGGGGTAGCTCAATGCTTTGAGCATTGGCCTGCTAAACCATGGGTTGTGAGTTCAATCCTTGAGGGGGCCATTTAGGCATCTGGGGCAAAAATTGGGGACTGGTCCTGCTTTGAGCAGTCAGTCGGACTAGATGACCTCCTGAGGTCCCTTCCAACCCTGATATTCTATGATCAGCATAAATCCTGAAGCAGGAGATTTCTCTCCCTGTCTGGATTTACAGCTTCCCAATGAATCCTTTCCTTCTAAGGAATAGAACCAAACTCAACTCTTTATGGTGGGAGCCATTTCAAATCAGTGAATCCCAGGGAGGGCTGTGAAGGACACCATGAGAGAGAGAATTACAGAGTTTATTTAATATAAAAATCAAGAGTGAAAGCAAAGAGCCACTACAACAGAACCAGCCCCTGTGTGGATACTCACTGGTCCCGGGCCGAGAAGAATGGACAAAAAATCCATTTGGTAACAGCACCCCGATGCAGATGCATGCTCTGCTCTAAAACCGGGGTACTGCCCTTTCCCTAGCCAATTATAACAAGACCCCTTAATTAATGAAACCTGCCTTTGACCTGATCTGTATTTTGGCTGCTGCTGTATTTAAGCTGGGCCCCCAAACCCAAATGTTGTCTACTTCTTTATTGGCTGTTGTCCAACATGGCTTGAAATGTCGTTTGTGTCGATGCAAATTCTGCAGTTGCTACTCTTCTGAGACACCTCCAAATTCCCCTACAACACCGGCCGGAAACCCCCCGCAGATTTACTACCTGACCCAAGGTCACGCCTTGCCTCATTTCTATTAATCCCTCTTGTTCACACTTAGCTTTAATAATATGGAGCCTAAAGCCCTGCTCTGTACTTGCATTTCAGCACATTTCCAATTAGCAGACGCCTATGTGTCCCCGTAGGTTACACTGTCTTCTTAGCCTGCCCTGGCAGATTCTTGTTCTCCATATCAAAGTCCGACCCCCTTTTTGACTCTTGCCTCTGTGACTTTCGGTTGTCGGCAGCGAGGCTGGGACCTGCGACTTCTGGATCTCAATGCGTGAGCCTCTCCGTTTCCTGTCTGAGCTAAAAGTCCCTGCTCACTTAATCGAGGCTGTAGCAGGCTCAATGCCCCTGTATGTGACCATCACTAGAGGGAGAGAGAGCGCCACCCAGAGGCGGTGTTGGTTGCATTAAATTCCCATCCTCAGCGGCATCCGATGGCCGTCAGTTCCGCAGGCTGACGCCTCGTGTGGAAAAGCATTTCCTGGTGTTGAGTTCGAATCCACACGTTCAGTTCCATCGCCTGTCGCTGAGTGATGAGATGGGGTCCCTGCCCAATCTCCCTTCTCTCTCCTGGGCACAGTGTTTCTCACGTCCCCTCCTATTCACGCCTCTCTAATGTAACACTCCCAGTCGTTTCAGTCTCTCTTCATATGTTGTTTTTTTTTTTTCCCCGGATCTTTCTCCATCTGTCTGTGACCCCCGCTCCATCCCTCCCACCCCAGCACTCCCCTCCGTCCCTCCGGGTACCCCTTCTCCCCCCCCCCCCCCAGCACATCCAATCACGCTCCATCCATCCATCCATCCAGGGCACCCCCCATCCATAAATAAACGCCAGTCCCTTCTAGCCCTAGGCACTGTGCTGAGCTCTCCAACCAATAGGGTTTGTATAGGTTTGTAGGCTCCACAGCCTAGGGGATTTAGACACCCCATCATGAGTGATGTATCTAAGCCCCCGAGGCTGGAAATCTCAGCCTTCGTCTGCCGCTTGCAGGGCTCTGGACACTAGCGCAGCTGCTTTACGTCACCCCCTGCAGGTGATCCGGGAGAGGCTGTAAGCAGAGCCCGTCCCTCGTGTGTTCCCGAAGGCACTCGCCCTCCGCCGGGGAGCCTGCAGGATGGCAGCCAACGGCACTGTGGGGCCCGAGTCGCAGGAGGTGCAGCGCCGCGTGGATCAGATCACAGATGAGGTGAGCAGGGAGGAGGGTGCTGGAGCCATCTCTAGCATCCCAGGGCGCCTGGCGCTGGGGCAGGCGTGTGAATACCCCCACTGCGGAAACTGAGGCACCGAGAGAGGAAGTGACTTGGGCAAGGCCACACTGCAAGTCAGTGGCAGAGTCCTGACTCCAGCCTGCCTGCTCCAACTCACTAGCCTCCGCTCCCCTCCCAGAGCTGGGGAGAGAACCCAGGAGTCCTGACTCCCAGCCTGCCTGCTCTAACTACCGGCCCCCCTCCCCTCCCAGAGCTGGGGAGAGAACCCAGGAGTCCCAACTCCAGCCTGCCTGCTCTAACTACTGGCCCCCGCTCCCCTCCCAGAGCTGGGGAGAGAACCCAGGAGTCCTGACTCCCAGCCCCCTCCCCCCACGCACGGGAAAATGCTCCCACCTAGGGGAACAGGGGAAAGATGGGGCCAGAGAGAACAAAGGGATCCGAACCGCCTTGCGGGGACGAGAGCGAGGCCCAGGCGGAGGGGAAGGAAATCCCAGCCCCTGCCCCCGGTGGCGACCGGTGGGGTGAAAATGGCAGCTGGGGAAGTGGCAGCTCCTGAACCGGGCGCTCAGTCACTGGGAACCATCCCCTCCCAGGGCACACACAGCGCAGCGGACGGTCAGGGGGGAAGCCAAGGGATTTGGGTGCTGTCCCACGGCAGGACAACCGCTGGTCGAGAGCTCATTACAGGGGGCCCGGAAGGGGACAGATTCAGTGAGCACAAGGCAGGTGCCTCCCTGGGTCTCTCAATGCAAAGCCCACACAGATAGATTATTACAGTAACAGCCACACGATGGGGATCAGGGCTCTGCCGGGCCGGGTGCTGCCCAGACACACAGTGACCGAGATCAGGGCCCCATTGCGCAGGGCGCTGCCCAGACACATCGCAAGGGCCTAGAGAGCTTTCAGTCTAAATAGACAAGGGAAGGATTATCATCCATCTTTTACAGGTGGGGAAACTGAGGCACACTCACTCACCCAAGGTCTCATGGGGAATTGGTGGCCGAGACTGAAATCAAACCCAGATCCCCTAAGTCCCAGCGTAACATCGTAACCACGAGGCTTGCGGGCCAGCCTGCCTCCCCTGCATAACATCTCTCCCCCCCACACCACACTGCACCCCATCCCACCCCACTTGCTCTCCCCCAGCTATGCAGGCACTTTCTGCAAGAAGCCTTGCTGTGGTTTTGTTGCGCTGTTGAAGGGCCGTGCCCCAGAGGTAGCTGCACTGTACTGAGCTCCTCAGCGGGGGCACGTACGCTCTGCCGATGGGAGTGCCGGGCGGCGTTTCTTGTACCAACACCCTGTTCTCTGTTCTCCCCTGCAGTCTCTGGAGAGCACCCGTCGAATGCTGCATATGGTGGAAGAGGTAAGAGCTGAGCAAGGACCCCGGGGCTGATGGGGGGTGGTGGTCCCTTGGCACCCCCTTTAATACAGAGCTGTGCAGCAGCTGATGGCAATGGCAGCTGTCCCTTGGGGCTGGAAAACTGGAGTCCCAGCTGGAACTGATCAGGGCACTGCTGTGGGGAAGTTCACAGCATCAGAGGTCCCAGCCAGGTACGGGAAGGGCTCTGTTGTGGGGAAGTTCACTGCACCAGAGTCTTCAGCCTGGTACTGGCAGGGCACTGCTGTAGGGAAGCTCACAGCTGTGGAATCCCTGGCTGGGCACTCTTGTGGGGAAGCTCACAACACTGCCGTTCTGTATGGACACTGCTGTGGGGAAGCTCACGGCACCGGAATTCCTGGCAGAGCACTGCTGTGCGGAAGCTTGCAGCATCGGTGTTCTTGGCAGGGCACTGCTGTGTGGAAGCTCACAGCATTGGGGTTCCTGGCAGAGCACTGCTGTGGGGAAGCTCACAGCCTCTGGCATCAGAGAGCTGTTCTGAGGTTGGTGGCACCGGGCAGCGGCTGGGCCGGGGTTTGCTAACACTGACCCCCCTCCCCCCACTTGCCTCCTCTCCCACCGCAGAGCAAAGACGCTGGGATCCAGATCTTGGTGATGCTGGATGAACAGGGAGGTGAGAAAGAGGCTGGGGGGTGGGATGGCGGGGGGGGGGGGGAGGCGGGAGGAGCAGGACACAGCCAGTGTGTGCCTGGGGGGGACAGTCCCAGACCCCCCCCAACCACGTCGCTCCTGTCACAGACCCACCCGGCTGGATCAGCACCAGCTCCAGTTTAAGGCTGGACCCCCCTGAGTTCTGCTGGATCCAGGCCAGGTCCCGGATGGACCCGGTTCCTGAGACGCCAGTGCCCCCACTCCCAGCCCTTGGCTGTGCGGCTCCCAACTCCCATGGGCGTGGGGGGGCATCAGCGCTGGGGAAGGGGCTGAGCACATGAGAGAGCAGGGGTGGGAGCTAGCTCCAATATCCCCCCCCCACACACACACACACAGTAACTCACAGCCATGGTGGCTGGAGTCCAAGCTGGAACTGGCCAGGGCACTGCTGTGGGGAAGCTCACAGCACTGAATTCTCAGTGCCGGGGGTGGGTGGTGCTCCCCATTGGCTCCCCCCTCCTTCCTCTCAACTGGGAGGAGCAAACCCCAACCCCGTAGGTTATTTGTACCCTGGGATGAACCTCAAGACCTGAACCCCCCTGGTACCCGCAACTCCCCATTACCCTACCCTGGGTTCATGCCTCCTGAGAAAGCCCCGGGCTCCTCCTGACTGGGGGCAGGTCCAAGTGAAGACTCAGTCCACTGCCAACATAGAGCCTGCCCCCACCAGGGGCTCCCCCCAACCCCCCATAGGCTCCCCCAGCCCCACGGCCTCATCTGCCCCCCAACACCCTGCCCCATGGACTCCCCCAGCCCTACGGCCTCATCTGCCCCCCTGGCCCCGGCACTCACCTGCCCCTCCTCCCCTCCAGAACAGCTGGACCGGATTGACGAGGGGCTGGATCAGATCAACCAGGACATGAAGGAGGCGGAGAAGAACCTGACAGACATGGCCAAGTGCTGCGGCCTCTGTGTCTGCCCCTGTGCCAAGTAAGCCCCCCCGCCCCCTGCCTGGAAGGGGAGACACCCCTGTGATCTGCCCCCCTGTCACCTCCACCCTGCCGGTCCCATCCCCATGTGACAACGCAGCTGCCCCACACCCCTGCATCTCAGGGTACCTGGGGAGGCCTGGGGCAGCCCTGTGGGATCAGACCCCAGCTGGGTTTTGGGGGGCAGCCCTGTGGGATCAGACCCCAGTCATGTGTGGGGGCAGCTCTGTGGGATCAGAACCCAGCCGGGTTTTGGGGGGGCAGCCCTGTGGGACCAGACCCCAGCCGGGTGTGGGGGCAGCCCTGTGGGATCAGACCCCAGCTGAGTTTCAGGGGGCTGCCCTGTGGGATCTGACCCCAGCCAGGGAAAGGGGGGAACCTGGCTGCCCTGGTGGGCGTCAGACCCCCCAGGCCTGTGTCTCACCGGCTCCACCCCCTCCTGTTTTACTGAGGCTGAAGAACATCAAGGCCAGTGAGGCGTACAAGGCGGTCTGGGGCAACACCCAGGACGGGGTGGTCTCCACGCAGCCCTCGCGAGTGGCAGACGAAAGGGAGCAGATGACCATGAGTGGGGACTACATCCACAGGTAGGGTCAGCAGGACCCACCCCCAGGCGCCTCCAGGGGGCTGAGTCCAGCTAGGCCCCCTTGGTCTGGGAGCCCATCTGCTGATGTCCCACTGGAAGCAAAGGGAGTGGGGTGGGTGGTTCAGGAAGGGGTGCTCTCGCCTGGGGGGAGAGAACCCCAAATCCCTTAGGTTATTTGCATCTGGGGAGGGGACCTCAAGACCTGACCCCCCTACCCCAGGTTCTTGAGACAGTCCTGCGGGGTTCTGGACCATCAGGGACTCGATGCTCCAGCGCGGTGCTAGGGGGCAGGATCGGGGGCTCAGTAAGGGGTGCTTTCCCCTCAAAGTTGGTGCTGGCCTCCATGCCCCACCGGGGGGCGTTGTGCTGCAGGGAGAGGGGCTCAGAAAAGAGGGCCTGACTGGGGAACGGCCATGAATGGGGAAGCAGCGGGAATCCAAGGTCTAATAAAGCAGAGAGGCTGGTGCTGTTAGTGTTTAGGGTCGGAGCAGGACGCTCCCCACCTTACGGGAGGGGCGGATCTTCCAGAATAACCAATGACGCACGGGAGGACGAGATGGAGGAGAACCTGGTGCAGGTGGGGAGCATCCTGGGCAACTTGAAGAGCATGGCTCTGGACGTGGGCAACGAGATCGACATCCAGAACAAGCAGGTGGACAAGATCATGGAGAAGGTGAGCGCTGCGCGGCCGCACCCCCGTCTCCCCACCTGGAGACTGAGCCTTTGGGCAGGAGCCTGGTTGCCTGCAGGGGGTGCCAAAGGAGTGGGATGCTGAAGGGGGCTGGAGATGGGGCAGTGTCTTGCCCCATTAAGGATCCAGGCTGAGAACCCCCCTCCAGCTCGGTTCACTGCTCGGCCGTCAGCTGCTCCCCTGCCTAAGGAGGGTGTCCTACCAGCTGAACACGCTCACTCGGTGCCACGCACTTGTGAATCGTGCGCTGCATCCCGCTCCAGCTGGTGGATAACAGCCCAGCTACTGCAGCTGGCCGAAGGAGCGAGTCCCTCCTTGAATTCAAGGTGCGGAGAAAGGCGGCGAGGAGCGTGAGGGGAAGGGAGGAGTTGAGCAGGCTGAGCGGGGAGCTGAGGGCTGTCTAGAAATACCCCAGGAAGACGAGCTGTGAAAGCTAAAGGCATCGGAAGAAATGGGATTAAATTGGGCTGTGATCGGCTGAGGTTGGCGGGGTTGGCAGGGGATGGGATTCGAGGACCCAGCGACCCCTTTCCGGTGCCATGTTCAAGTGGGAGAGGGCTGGGCTTCCGAGCGGGGGAGTCCTGGGTTCGAAACCCTCTAGCAGCAGCTAGCGAGGGGATAGACCTGCACCAGCAGGTCCAGCGCTCCCGGGTAGCCCCCCGCCCGCCTGCTCGGGAACTAGGTGCTTAGGTTGCTGCGGGAGGGTTTGCAGCCCCTACCAGGGAGCCGTGGCCCCCCGCAGAGTTGTCTCATCCCCTCCGCCGGCTCCTCTCCCCGCAGGTCACCGTGAACGAAGATCGCATCCAAGAGGCCAACACCCGGGCCAAGAAGATTCTCAAAAATGCATGAGCCCCGGCCCCACGTGCTCTCCCGCTTCGCTGCCCCCCCACCCCGGCTCCCGGTCGTCCATCTGTCCGTCCCTGCTGTCCAACCTGCCCTGGAGTCTCCAGCGCTGTGTGTTAGGTGGAGCCTCGGATGCTTGGGGGCGGGCGTAGGGTGTGCGCACTGCCATGGCACTTAGCGGATAACAGCCCTACTATTGCAGCCAGCTAGGGGAGCTCCTTCTGTAGCTCCAGTGGGAGAGGGCTGTCCCTGGGAGCTGAAGGTTGCAGGCTCAGTCGCAGCTGGGAGGGTGGAGTATGCTACAGACGTAGTGGCTCCATGTGTTGTGGGCGGGGGGAGGAATCTTTATTTCCTCTTGGGGGGGGGTACACATGTGACCCCCCCCTCCCCCTGCTATAGGGAAGGCAGACCCTAGTGCATCCTGCCCCAGTGCAGTGACTCAGAAGGAGGAATCTGCATGGAGCTTTCTTCCAGTCTGGGGGAATTTTTGGAGCGTGACGTGTGGATATTTGGCTCTATTTTCAAACTGCCACAGCCCTGCCTCCTATGGGACCCTAATCTCCCTCACCCCTCCTGTTGTGATTGGGTCCTCATGCCCCCCCGCCCCCCGCCCCCCATGACCCTACCCTTGAGGCTCCTTCCCCTGGCTGAGATGGGTTTTCCCAAGGGCAGATAATGAGTGCCGGGGGAGGGCCAGTCAGATGTGGGATTGGGCAGTTCTCTGCCCTCTGGAGAGAAATGGGGGTAGGGGAGGAGGTGAGAGGGAGACAGGAATTTTCTTGTGCATTATCCCAGCCAACTTTGATTGAGAAAGGTTCCAAGCAGCCTCTGATTTTATGAAGCACGTTAACCTGTGGAACTCCCCACCACAAGATATTAATAATCCCGAGATTTTATCATCCGTAAATCTCAAAGCACTTTACAAAGGGGAGTGGTGGTGTCAGTATCTCTATCCCCATTCTACAGATAGGGAAACTGAGGCACAGAGAAGAAAAGTGACTTGCCCAAGCTCACCCGTGGCAGAGTTGGGAATAGAACCCAGGTCTCCTGAGTCCTGCTCCAGTGCTCTATCCACTAGGCCACACTGTTCTGAAGAAAGCCCCTATATCAACTGACACAAATGCTTCAGTAGCTAAATGAAGCCAAACTGGATTGACAGGACAGCTGAATCAGAGAGGGTCAGGCCAGAGACTTGCCTGGTTCAATTCTCCACTCCATCCTTCCCTGTTAACCTGTGGAACCCCCCACCACAGGATATTCCTGAAGCAAACATTTCATTAACTAACTGAAGAGAAACAGGAATGATGGAAGAGATGAATCAGAGAATGGGGACATTGGAGATTTCCCTGGTTGAGTTCCACCTCCATCCTTTCCTGGTAACCTGTGGAACTCCCCACCACAGGATATTCCTGAAGCAAACATTTCATTAACCAATTGAAGAGAAACAGCAGTGATGGGAGAGATGAATCAGAGAAGGGGGACATCAGAGATTTCCCTGGTTCAGTTCCCCCTCCATCCTTTCCTGGTAATCTGTGGAACTCCCCACCACAGGATATTCCCAAAGCAACTATTTCATGAACTAAATGAAGGGAAATAAGACTGATGGGATGGCTGAATTGGGAGGTGGGGCGCATGCCGATGACTCCCTGGGTTGTATCCCTCTGTGTGTGTGTTTGGTTTTCAAACGTAATCTGTCACTGTGACACCGAAGCCCCTGTCTGTGTGAGGGGCCCTCTTCATTTTTATCCGTGATGTAAGCGAGGTGATTTTTTTCTTCCAAAGCATAATACAAAAAAAAGCAAAAGCAAAAGTGCCTTTTTCTTTACGATAAACTCAAACCCGTGTCCAATTCGCCAGCTGGTAAAAGGCTCCAGAGGAGGGGTGTGTGCCCGTCCCACAGCATCCTAGGAAGGTTGGGCTGAAAGGGACCTCCCCGGGTCAGCTAATCCACCCCCTCTGAGTTGAGACAGGACCAAGTAGCCCTAACTCCCCCTGGAGTTTCTATTATCTCCCTTGCTGCGGGTTAGGACAATTCCTGCTTGGCCTACCCACAATGGAGAACAGTGGCTCACCCTCCGCTTTATGTAGCTCTTAACGTAATTGACGACTGTTCTCAGGTCTCCCCTCAACCTTCTCTTCTCTAGACTAAACCTGCCTCCTTCTTTCAGCCTTTCCTCCTGGGTCAGGTTTTCTAAACCTGTCCTCGTTTGGGTCAATCGCCTCCAGTTTGCCCTGAGGCTGCTCAGCCTGACTCTGAGGACCAGGCAACTGATAGAACCCAGGAGTCCTGGTGGCTCCCAACCCCCTCTGTTCCAATCACTAGACCACTCATAGCTGTGAGACCCACTGAACTGGCCCCTGGGCAGCATGTTTATTCCACTGCCATCCGGCCCTGAAGTAACAACAATCCATAGCTCCAATAAAGGGCTTACAAAGGGCATCAGTAGCATTATGCTTATTTTGCAGATGGGGAAACTGAGGCACAGAGCGATGATGTGCCTCACTCACTGAGCAGGCCAGTGGCAGAGCCAGGAATCAAACCCAGGTCCCTGTCCAGTGCTTTGCTCACTAGCCCACGCTTTCTCCACCAAAGCAAAGGCTTCAGTAAATAAATGAAGGAAACATGATAGACGAATCGGGGAAAGGGGGCATCAATTGCGGCGTCAGTGCCTCCTGCTGTCCATCCCTGTTAACCTGTGGAACCCTCTGCCACAGGATATTCCTGAAGCAAAGGCAGTGCGGGGTCAGCGGAGCTGGGAATCAGAATTTCTGAGTCTTACATCAAGCCCTGCAACTGCTGAGAGTCATTCCAGTATTTGGAAAGAAACAAAGCTGGTGCTGGATCCCCTCATTGTGCTCACTTTAGACCTGCCCCACTCACCCCCTGCCCCCCAAAGGGGGGGGCGTCTTACCCTGACACAGTTTTTAAAGGTGCTTTTTATTGATTTCTGACGGTAGGGGTTTTCTTAAAGTACATGGCTGTCTGCTCTCTGCTTCCAGCCCCAAACAGGCCCCTGTGGAGCAGGGGGAGAGGGGAACCAGCTAGTCCAGGCTGCCATCTCATTTATTCTTCTGGGGGAAAGCAGCTCTGACCAGCGAGAAGACGGAGTAACAGGAGCCTGGAACAGCAAGAGAATGACTGGTAGGATTCTCAGAATAGAAAGAGAGGCCCAAGTCCTAAACCATACCCCCTAATGCACACAGAACCCAGGAGTCCTGGCTCCCAGCCCCCCTGCTCTAAGCACTGGGAAATGCTACAACACCCCGCCTCATTCACAGCAGCAAAGCACATCTTTCCCCCTCAATACCTCTGCGAGTCCCCAAAGGGGCTGATCTCAAATCAAAAGGGAAATGGACTAGAAAAGGATCATTACAACAAGGAGCAAAATAGGGTTCGATCAGTTTCATTTCTCTGTTTGGCCTGAAACACACAGTCTGGCCTGGGCTTTTATTTTAAGAGCTACCAGGGTTACATTTGATGGCGGTCTCTCCCAACCCTAATATTCTAGGATTCAGATTGTGCTCATGACCCGGGGGGGATTTGCTGCAGCTCCATTAAACAGCTAATAACTGAACCCAGAAGTGCTGATTCCTAGCTCCCTGCTCTAACCACTAGTCCCTGCATTAGAGCTAGAACCCAGGAGATCTAACTCCCAAACCCACCCCCCCCAACCACTAGACCCTAGTCCTCTGAAAGAGCTGCGAATAGAACCCAAGAGTCCTGACTCCCAGCCCCCAACCTGCTCTAATCATTACACCCCACTCCCCTCCCTGAGCCAGGGCTAGAACACAGGAGTCCTGACTCCCAGCCCCCCTGCTCTAACCACTACACCCCACTCCCGGAGCCAGGGCTAGAACCCAGACATTCTGAGCCGGGAGCAGCACCTACCAAAGACAGTAATGGCCATTGTGAGTCGATACAGCAAGCCATCCATCATGCCCCCTTTCAGATGCACGGGCAGGCCATTATCCGCCTAGGCACAGAAAGAAAACCAGGGGGGGGGGGTCAGGAAACCAGCCCCCACCCCCCAGTAACTGCAAGGGTCCCTGCACTTCCGAGCAATGGGGCATCCTTTATGCAGAGAATGGGACAAATTCAGAGAGTCTTCCCAGCCAGGAAAGGGCCGGTTGGGGGTGTGTGTAAAGGGGTAGACTGCGACTTTAAGGGCTAGAGGCCCAGAGCCAGCCAGCCAGCCCCATCCCCTTAGCCCTGCCCCCACTCCTGGGCTGGGGTGGGGTTAATTGGCAGAACCAGCTGGGTGCAGGGGAGCTGCTGTCCCTATAAAGAGCAGCAGGATGCCCCAGAGGGGGCTGACCAGGGAGGCAGCCCTTAGCTGGGATGGTTGCAGGCCTGGGTGAGCCCTGGGGGAGAGATGAGTGGCATGGACTGGCTGGAGGTTTAAGCATTGGATTTGGGGTAACAAATCCAGCCCCAAGGAGGGTGTTGCTGACCCAGATAAGAGTTTGCTCTCAGTGTGATTGAGGGAGCCCTGAGAAGTGGAGAAACTGAGGCAGGGATGCTATAGAGTGACCTCAGGCTCTGAGGGGGTGCACAGGAGGTAGCTGCCCCATTCTAGTGGGGGTCAATGTTCCATTTTTCTCTCCCCATTCCCCTCATTCATGCTGGGATCCCCACACCCTAACCCTACCAACACCCCCATGTGGCTACCATCCCTGTTTAATGGGTGGGGAAACTGAGGCACAGATAGCTGAAGGGACTTGAATCCCTACCCCCAAGATCCATGGCAGAGCTGGCAATAGTGCCCAGGAGTCCTGACCCCCCCTGCTCTAACCACTAGACCCCACTCCCCACCCAGAACTGGGGACAGAACCCAGGAGTCCTGGCTCCCACCCCCAACCCCCCCCCGCGCTCTAACCACTAGACTCCACTCCCCACCCAGAACTGGGGATAGAACCCAGGAGTCCTGACTGCCAACCCCCAACTCTACTCCATCCCCTGGCTCCTCCCTCTCCCTTCACCTTTCTTAACCCCCAAGAGCCAAGCTGGGGTCTGTCTCACCTGAAAGAGCTTCTGATGTTCGGGGACTTTGTTTTTCATCTGGTGGCGGGTGGAGGTGGCGAAGGAGCGGAGGGATCCCACGCGGGAGGTCTGTGACACGGCCGGGGGAGGGAGGATGGGGTTGGGGAGGACAAAGGGGATGAGGAACCTACAGAATAGAGTGAAATCAACCCCTCATCCCCCTAGGTCCCAGCCCCTGGTAGGAGATGGCCCAGTCCGGCTTGGTCCAGTTGTCTTGGCACTGATACCAGGGTAGTCACTCCTGGTTTACACCGGGCTGGGCGAGAAGGGAATGAGCCCCAGGGGAGTCACTCCTGATTTACACCGGGCTGAGTGAGACTAGAATCATCTTGCTGGGTTCTGGTTTCCACCCTGCTTTGCATCTAATGCAGGCAAATGCCAATACAAGGCCCAGGCCAGCAGAGAATCGGTCCCCGGTGTCACAAACCCAGGCTGAGGATCAGGACTCCTGGGTTCTGTTCCCGGGCTGGGAGGGGAGTGGGGTCTAGTGGGATAGAGATGGTGGGGAGGGCTGGGGGTCAGGACTCCTGGGTTCTGGGAGGGGAGTGGGGTCTAGTGGGTTGGAGCGGGGGGCCTGGCAGTCAAGATTCCCACATGCCAATCTAGAAGGGTTGGGCTGGATCAAGGGAGGGTGCAGGGCTGGGTGGTATAACAGATGGCTGGGTGCAGACCCCGGTTGTATAGTGGAGCCTGGTTCAGGAGCTCCCCGTCCTTCCACCGTGTGACACCCCAGGGCAGCTTCTGTTTCCTGAACAGGCAGAGTGAAAGCAGCAGCTGCTTGGAGCTTTCCCCTGGGGACGTGAAAGCACATGTGAAAGTGGGGCTGGCTATTGAGGCTGGGACAGCGAGACAGCCAGTGGGGACGAACAGCACCCAGGGTCTGCCTCATGGATTTATACTGCTGAGTAACGGGGTTCAGGATCTGACTCACGCTGCAGGATCTGGGCTGCCAGGAGCACGTGTGCATCTGATGGGGCCATAGTGAGGACCCGTTAGTTTGCTACAAGATTTCATGGTGCTGCAGAGGCTGCGAAGAAACTCTCAGAGTGGCAGAGGGGTCCAGATTTCCCAGGGCAGCCTCCCTAAGGCCACTGCTGGGAGAAGGACTGGGGATCCCACTGCTCACACCAATAGATCTAAAGTCACCTTGGGAAAGTGAAACTGCAGCTGCAGAGGCCTTTGTGCCCTTTCCTCTCCCTCCACCCCACCTCTGAGGTCTACCCCTCTTTACTCCCCCTTATCTATACCCTTCTTCTGCTTAGCCCCTGAAGCAGCTGATCTAATCCACCTAGAAAACATCCCTGCAGCCCACCAGGGACTTCGGAGGATTAACATCCACCATGGCATTTCAACACCCAAGCCTACTGCCCCACTCACTCCTCCCCCTTCCAAACTCTCTGCTCCCTGGCTCCAAAGCGTCATTTCCTACTGGGCAGGGAACATTTATTTCTACTGAGCTAGCCACCCCATGCAGTATTCTTCTTCTTTGTACACATAGCGACCCAGACGCCTTGATGAGATCAGGGCCCCTTCGTGCCGAGCACGGTGCAGACACCGAGTCAGAGTCAGCTCCTGCCTTGAAGGGCTCCCAGTCTAACCAGCCGAAGGAAGGCTGATTATCCCATTTTACAGAGGGGGAACCAGAGGCCCAGGGAGATGCAGTGACTCGCCCCAGGTCACACAGCGAGTCACAGCCCAGGCCACCCTTCCTCTGCCAGGCAGCCCTCTATCTAGCTGCTTACATGCCAGTCACTCTACCTAGCACCCATCCCTCC